GGGGGATTGTTGGTCAGGATACTGGGAGAGAGAAACTCCCTTCTCTTTTCAAATAGAACCATGGGATCTTTAACACCTACCTGAACAGGTAGACGGGACCTTGGTTTAACATCTCATCTGAAGGATGGTAATGCAACACACTTCAAGCACTGCATTGGGGTGTCAGCTTAGATAGACTATGTGATTCTAAGTTCCAATGTGGGGATTGAACCCATCACTTCTGACTCAGAAGCAAGAGTGCTATCAACTGACGCTGACACTAAATGATAGCCAGGACCAGATCTAACAGGGAGTCTAGAAGGAACGTCTTCCCACAGAGGGTGCTGAGAATGTGGAACTCGCTGCCGGAAGCTGTGGTTGAAGTAAACAACACCAATGTATTTAAGAGGAAACGTGAATGCAAACACAAGGGAGAAGGGAAGAGAGATATATAGGAGAGGGATGGGAAATAGGAGGGTTGGGGGATCATGTGGAGTATATGGACCAGCTCGGTCGACAAAATGGCTTGTTTCCGTACTATAACAATCTATATAATAATTAATTCTATTGGGATTAGGTGATGTGCCAATTATTTGTATTTTGCACTCATCCCTCCCCACACCCCACCATTTAAGACAAACAGAGAAATAAATTACAATTGAAAATTTGGAATGTAAATATTTAAGTTTGTGGCCAAAATGGATTAAAGAGGAGGTGTGAAATGTTTTCCTTCCCACAAAGGGGGACTTTCAACGTAGAATTCTCTGCCACGTACCTCAGCTGAACCACAACCTCAGCTCCTGTTAACTCTGCAAACCAAAAACCTGAGGGATAAAGTGGTCCTTGCTGAACAAGCAGCAGGAAAGCCAGGCAGTGTTATCAATGACAAGCTATTCGGTTTTAGCTGGTTCGATTCCAGTAGTACTCCAAAGCATACTCTGTGGTTCCCCCAAGCCTTGGATCTTGCCAACCTGTGCCTAATACTTTCCGGAATGAGGTAAGCAAGATGTGTCCCTCCAGGGTGAGAGAGTGCATTCCATTCCAACAATTTATCTCTGGGATTTCCACGTGTAGGTGGGATGCATGGAATTTTCAATTTGGTATGGTTACTCTTAAACATAACGATGGGTTTCCGCATGTGTCAGATACCCAGCTGACCCCCAAAAAACTATCTGCCTTTAAATCCCACCTCAAAACCTACCTCTTCGACTGCTCGTACAGTCACCTCCCCTTTCTCCCTTGCTCAATGTCCGACTCCCACCGCCGCCACCCTCCAACTATGAAACTCTCCAGGACATTAAATCCACTTATAAGGGGCGCTATATAAATGCAAGTTGTTAATTTTTGCACTCATTTTATCCTCAATAAAAAAAAAATTTTAGAGAAAAATTGGAAATTCAGATGAACTCGGGTTTTATTTTTACCCATTCAGCAGACTGGTGTGGGGGGTGGGGGAGGGGGTGAGGAGAGGGGAGCTCAGACTGACAGACCTTTCACAGAAACGTAAGTTTTTTTTAACAAAGTTGCCCCTTGCATTCATTCACTGGGTGTTATGCCTTAATAGACTACATGAGTGTATTAATTGTGTACGAGCAGTCAGAATTCATAACTTTCAAAGGAGTCCTGTAGCTCAGTGGTTAGAGCGCTCACCTCGCAAGCAAGAGACCTGGGTTTGATTCCCGGCAGGACGAAACCTTGGGCAAGTTTCCTTACTCCACACACCTTGTAATAATCCCTCAAGAAAAGAAATAATAAAATTGTTCACTTCAATCCACGACTGTTTGTGGGATACTACTGTGCGCAATTTGCTGCCACGTTTCACCCACAAATATACAGTCAATTTGCTTTACAGTATATTCTGTGAAGCGCTTTAGGATGTCTAGAAGACGTGAAAAGTGCTATTTCAAATACAACGATTATTATTATTATAATAATAATAATAATCCTTGCATTTGATATAGCGCTTTTCACGTCGGGAGGACATCCCAAAGCGCTTCACAAAACAACTGTAAAGTGAATTGACTGTATATTTGTGGGCAAACGTGGCAGCCAATTGCGCACAGCAATGTCCCACAAACAGTCGTAGATTGAAAATGACCAATTTATTATTGTTTTGTTTTTCGAGGGATTATTATTAGGCTCTGTGTGGAGTAAGGAAACTTGCCCAAGGTTTCACCCTCTGCCTGGAATTGAACCCAGGTGTCTCACTTGCAAAACGAGTGCTCTAACCACTGAGCTACAGGACTCAGCCTACTCCTGTTTCTATGTCTATATCTATATATCTATGTTCGATTCCTGGGCAGGGAGACACATTGGGCAAGCTTCTTTACTCCACACACCTCTGCTTACCTAGCAGTAAGTAGGAACCCAGTTGTTAGTTGATTAATGGATTGCTTTTCTGGGAGTAATAATCCTTTCAAAAAATGAATTTATAAAAATATGAATTTTGTCACTCAATCCATGAATGTTTGTGGGACACTGTTGTGCGCAATTGGCCACCGTGTATGCAGTCAATCCACTTTACGGTATATTCTGTGAAGGCTTTGCAATGTCTCGAAGACGTGATAAGGCGCTATATCAAACGCAAAGATTATCATTATTATAAATTGAGCAATGTGACCTCTCAGTCGGGGAAAGGGGGAGATGAAATGGGACTAATTCATCTGAATCCTTGAGGCAGAAGGAGCTGAGCCGAGCCTTTGATAGTGCAATCTTGTTGACATTCTACTGCAAGTAGTCCCAAGCTTTAAATGGATAAACCATTCATTGTGGCGTCTATTTAATCATTCAAATAGACCAAGCCATTCCGCCCCCCCAAACCCCCCACCTCCAGCCCCTTCCACTTTCTATACCGTTTCTGCAAAGGCCATACTTTGTGTTTAAATCCACATTGCCTCGTGTTTTTGCTCCTATTTATCCGCGGCAGAAATGTATTTGTCTTCACGTCCCTTGTTTATTTATAAATGGACGAGTAATGGCATCCATCCTGAGGACCCAGGACAAAGCCCTCCTGATTTCTAAAGAAGTCCTTGACAGTTAAATACTCATGTGATTTTTCTTGCCCCTTTTTTATAGAAAAAGAAACAATTACTTCAAAAATCTGCTGACGAGTGAGTGACCCATTGCCTCCACCTTGTGGACAAGCAGAACTCCAGCTCCAGCCAGGATTTAACTTGGAGGCAACTGCTTTGGATGCCTAATACTTTCCAGGATTTAGGGAAGCAGGATGCTTCCCTCCATGGAGAGAGTGCGCATTCCATTCCAACAACTCTGGGATTTCCGTTTGTAGGTGGGATGCATGGAAATCTCAGCTTGGTTTGGATAGTCTTAAGCATAGTGATATGTCAGACACCTAGCTGACCCCCCCTAAAAAATGGACCCACTTTTAACTGCGTCTCATTCAGCCAAAAGGCAGACCTCAAATTCCACCTAGTCTCAGCCTGCGAGGCTGTTTATCATCGTAAAGTCTGAAGATTGCAGAGAATTGCGGAAAGTTCTCAAATTCTAAACTTGGTTAATAGAAAATAGCGGCTTTCGACTTCGGGAGGACGTCCCAAAGCACTGGACAGTCAAGGATGTACACCTGAGTTGGGGTTTGGGATCAGGAGCGGTGGAGGGTCGGGTGGGTGATCGTAGGAGGGTGACTAAATACATGGGCTAAAAGGAGGACTTTGAAGAAGGCAAGGGATGGGGTGAGGCAAAGGGAATGTGGGATGGAGTTCCAAAGTGTGGGGGCAGAAAGACTTGAAAGCCCAACTGCCCATGGAGCAGGCCAAAGTCCGCCCAGCGGACGGAGTGGACAGGCCACTATGGGGTTAGCAGGTCCCAGAGCATAGGGAGGATCAAAGCCATGGAGGGTTTTGAAAGGGAGGATGAGAATTTGTCCAAGTTTTCAAATATTGCCTTTGCAATGAAAGGTGAAGCTCTGAAGTGTCAGCTTAGACTGTGAGCTCAAAGTCCCGAGGTGTTATTGGGGTTTGTACCCACAAACCACTAACCCAGATGCAACAGTGCCATCAACTGAACCAAGTTGATGCCATCTGAGTCCTGCCAACCTTTATACAATACCACACAATGTTGTATTTATCAGTGCATTCGATTTTGGGAGCACATCACAAAACACTTTGCCTCGTTGATCCGGGTGGGGAGGGGGGTTGAAATGGGTGAACGGCGGGGCTAAAGCTGACCAAAGGCAGGGTCATAGTAGAGACTCGTAGCGTAGTGATTAATGAGCTCACCTCGCAAGCGAGAGGATCGCGGTTCGATTCCCGGGCAGGGTGAAAACTTTGGCAAGTTTCCACATGCTTCTGTTTACCCACCAGTATGCAGAATCCACTGGCGGATTGCTTTCCGGGAGCCATATTCCCTCAAAAAAAAACGTGGTCACGCAATCACAATTGTGCGCAATTTTGGCTGCCGTGTGTTTCGCCCACAAGATATAAAGTCATCCACTTTGCCACGTATTCTGTGCAGCGCTTTGAGACTTCTCAAATGCAAGGATTATTATTCTAGAACGTGGGGAGAGGGGGATTTCAGAATGGAGTTTCATGGAGCGAGGGCAGAATGGTTTAAAGCTCATCCACCAAAAGGGGACGTGAAGCAGGCTGGTGTTCACTAAGCAAAGGAAGCGACACAGACAGTAGAATTGTAATAACAATCATCCTCGCATTTGATATAGCGCCTTATCACGTCTTCGAGACGTCTCAAAGAGCTTCAGACAATATACTTTGAAGTGAATTGACTGTATATTTTGTGGGTGAAGTGCGGCAGCCAATTGCGCACAGCAGTGGAGTTTGTAGAGATCACACAGGTACAGGGTGGGGGTAAGACTGTGCAGGGATTTGAAAGCGAGAACAAGGATCTTGAATTCAATCTGCCGGAGTCAACAACAACAATTATCATTTATATAGCGCCCTTCACATGGGGTAGCGTCCCAGAGTGTTTCATGGGAGTAATGGGGAGCCAGTGGGTGTACCAACGTTAAATGTTTTTTGAATTACTGTAACTCTGAAAACTGTGATGATACCTGTTAATATTTTTATTCAGCATTTGTTAACACAGCTTCACATCAGAAGGAAGGTAGCAAGGAAGGAAGGATGAACGATTATAAAACACTGAAGTAGTAAAATTATGATCTTATATTGGAAGACCTTCCCTACTGATATTTATTTACATTAAAAACATCGAAACATAACTTGCGGTGCGAAAAAAAAACATTCAGTCTGTGTTCAGAGATACAAGAACATTTAGTTGTTTGAAAACAAAAGCAATTCTGTCTGGTATTTGGTACAGCTAAACACTTGGAGGAAAAAGAAAGTAGTAGTCCAGCTTTTGGGTCACGCGTTCAGCTTGGGGTTTCGTCCTTCAGACTCATAAACTGCAGGAGGAAATCTGCCATCTGTCAGAAAAGAAAATATTATTAATATTATAACAATACAATATTACATTTCAAGTCCCAGGGCTATTAATAATAATAGGAAGAAGATGAAGAAAGAAAGTGTTGCTTGTTTCAAGAACAAATGAGATGTAATAGAAATAATAATAGATAGAAAATAATCTCTCGGTAGACAGTATATAGTTTGGGACACGACATGTCAAGCGATAATAATGATAATAATAATCCTTGCATTTGATATAACGCTTTTCACGTCTTCTAGACGTCTCAAAGCTCTTAACAGAATGCGCTGAATTGAATTGACCGTATATTTGTGGGCGAAATGAGGCAGCCAATTTCACACAGCAGTGTCCCACAAAAGGTCGTGGATTGAAAATGACCAATTTATTATTGGTTTGTTTCTTGGAGGGATTATTATCAGTCGTGTGGCGTAAGGATGGTGGAAGGTAAACTGGATGAAGCTCAGTCTTCTTTCTCCTGGCAAATTCTTATGTTCTTATCAGTTAGCACTTCAACACTCCTGTCTCAATCACTCAATCCTCTCCGCTCCACCATCAGGGGATGTGCTTTCAGCCACTATGCCCTGACTTTGCCTCTGAAACGCTCTGCCTCAATCATTCCTCCTTGCCTCCTCCCTGCCCTTCTTCAGATCGCACCTAAAGACTTCAAGTGATTTTACTGAAAAGTGTAGTTACTGGGTGTTATTGTAGGTGGACGCACAGCCATTTTCAGACAAACAGCTGGGGATTGGTGACTAATTTTATCTGGAGGAATGTCGGCTGTTTGAAAAGAAGAACTCCCTTCTCTGGGGGGGTGGGGGGGGGGGGGGGGCGCGTCTTTGAGATCTACCGTGCAATCTGTGTTTCATGTCTCATCTCCAGTGCAGATTGACATTCCACGGTTACATAAATCATAAGCACTGACAAAGACTCCGGCATTCCTTGTGGACCGGAGATGCACCAGTGGCCAAACAGGGAGTTTACATAATCCTGAAAGTACACACACACACACATACACACAGCAACACAATACAGCAATGCACATACAGCAAAACACACACGTGTGCACCAAGCACACACAAATACGTGTGTACAATTGGAACTTGGAACTCATAAAATCTCGGTGCTGCATAATTGGAGGCGCCATCCTTCAAATGAGACATTAAACAAAGCCGTCTACCTGTTCAGGTGGATGTTAAAGATCCCCTGGCGGTACTTGGGGGAAAAAAAAGTGCAGAATTACTCTCTCCTAGTGCCGTGGTCAACAAACCCTCATAAGTGATACTGGTTATTCACTTCATGGCTGTTTGTGGGATATTGCTGTGTGCAAATTGGCTGCTTTATTCGCCTACTAAACACACAGTAAAATACTGTGAGGCGCTTTGAGACGTCCTCCTGACGTGAAAGCTGCTGTGGGAAACGTATGGATTATTCAGGGTTGTTACGGGCTGGGGAATGAATGCCGGCCTTCCCATTGTCGCCCACATCCCGAGATTAAACAAGGAGGGAAAAAAATACACTTGCCTCCTTATAGTTTCCACCTAGAGCCTTTTGCCAAGGTTTCTTGTTGAACACTGGGAAGTCATTCCTTAAACTCTGAACCTTTCTGGATGCAGAGCCCTCCCACAGCTGTAAGATGTTCTTCACCATCTCATTCCAATGCAAGTTGTCCTCCAGTCTTTTGGCGTCTTCCAACAGGCCTGGGTACACCACATTATCACTACTGGAGTAGTCATAAGGGAGGTCACTGATGCTCTTTTTCCCCATCAAATGGCCTGCAACAAAGCAAGGAAATGAGCACTGAAACCAACAGCGTAATGCGATGTGCATGCAACGGAAAAGGTGGAGCAATAAATTCACCGGGAGGTTACCAAGGAAGGGAGAGAAACGTGGGAGCGAAGATAGGAAGATGTGGGGGTAGGATTTCCAGTTATGATAATAGTAATCCGATCTAAAATAGGCAATAGCGACAGTTGTAGACCTTGTGTGAGATCAATCTGCTAAGAAAAATAATTATCCTCGTATTTGATAGAGCACCTTATCATGTGTTTGTGGCATCTCAAAGTGCTTCACGGGATGCACTGTTCTATAATTAATGTAAGGTAAGTAAAAATTGTGAATAAAATCGCTATGACCTTCCCCACCATCCCTGCCCCAGTATGTTGCTGCCTTGCCCGCTCCACCATTGGCGGGTGGGCCTTCAGCCTCTCTCTGCCCCCACCATCTGGAACTCTATCCCAAATTTCCCTCCACCTCACCCCCTCCCTTGCCTCCTTCAAAACCCGCCCAAGACCCTCCTCCTTGCCCTTGCCTTCAGTCACCCTCTTACCCCTCCCTTCCCTCGGGCACGGATCCCTGACTATCCAGCATCTTGGAACGTGCTCCTGATGTGAAATATGCTACACAAATGAAATTGGCTGCCATGTCTACCTACAAAAACACACATTAACTACACTTTTCAGTGTAGTTGCTGTTGTTGTATATTATCACCTCCAACAATGCAACTGTGCTGCTTTGAAGTTTATCTTATACTATGTGATTCCAAGTCCCGACATGGGACTTAAACCCACAAACCTCTGACTCAGAGGCGAGAGCGTTACCACTGAGATCGTCTGACTCAGCTGTTAAGAGAGACATGAGAAGTTGGAACTTCGCACACTGATAAGGTGAGAAGGTTAAGGGGTGACCTGGAGGAGGTCTTCGATATTCTGAAGGGTTCGGAGTATCAGATTAATAGGCAAAATATTTAGGTGAAAATATACAGTTTCCTAACAATTTTGATATTTATCACAGTGAATGTGCTGTGAAAGATCATTTTAGAGGCAGAATCAATACCGAAGAGATAAGACAGATACGTACATGTTATGATGAAATCTGCTAAAATCTAATATAAATGCAAATTGTTGTTATATCACTCCCTTCACATGGGATAGTGTCTCTCAGCACTGAAACTTCCGAGATTTAGTTATAATTAATCGGTATTTAAACACAAGCAGACCATGGCACAATTGTCATCACCAGTACAGCACATATTTTGGAGTGAAGTCCTGTAGCTTAGTGGTTAGAGCACTCGAGAGGACCCGGGTTCAATTCCCAGCAGGGTGAAACATTGGGCAAGTTTCCTTACTCCACACGCCTGTTTACCTAGCAGTAAAAAGGATCCTAGTTGTTAGTCGATTGGTGGATCGCTTTTCCAGACGGTAAAAATTCCTTCAAAATAAATACAAATAATTTGGTTACTCAATCCACGACTGTTTGCGAGATGCTGCTGTGCGCAAATGGCACAGGAATAATAACAGGAATGAATCTGTTATTACAAATGTTAGCATAAGGTGGCGCAATCCGATCACTAATAAAACATTAAGGCACGTATAACTTGCAACCCTACCACAGTGCATGTCTCTGTGGAGGCTATAATGATCACAGAGTAGAGAGAGAGGTGCAATAAGAGGGAGTCAATAGGCAGAAATTATTTCCACTGGTCGATGAGTCAGTCACTTGAGTGCGTCAATTTAAGGTAGTTGGCAAAGAGCAAAAGGGGGTGAAAGATTGGGGAAAAAATTGAACACAGGGTTGTCAAGATGTGGAATCTGCGTGTGGTGATCGAGCCAAGGTTCATTTTAGCTTTCAAGAGGGGAGTAGATAACTTCTAAAGAGGAGCAACTTGCAAGAGTAGGAGCGAAACAACAGGTAAATGGGACTTAATAATCCTTGCATTTCATATAGAGCCCACAAAATATACAGTAAATCAATTTTACAATATATTCTGTGAAACGATTTGAGATGTCTCAAAGACATGATAAGGCGTTTATATGAAGGATTATTATTGTTATCACCACATCGTCGCAAAGCCTTCAATGATCCAGCAGAGACAGAAAGGACTTAATGGCCTTCTTCGGTGCTATAAATGTCCATAGTTATGGGTTCATTACATGTAAAAGATTGAAAGAAAAAGGACATTATTCTGCTGACAACGATTACATTTGTAGATGTTCTGGCCAGCGTTGTACCAGATAAGATCGGTCATTCACTTTGTGGCTGTTTGTGGGATACTGCTGTGTAGCTGCAGTCACTTGCAAAATACACCGTCACTACACTTTACAGTAAAATTCCACACATCAGTTACCTCCTTATTGTTATATTGTGGTGAACAAAGTGACCCGACAGATCCATTTCACCATCAATAAATAAAGCTTAACTTTAAATACAACAACAGAATTTACATAGCGCGATTCATAACACTGTAGGCTCTCAGAGCCCTGAATCATGGAGAGGGAAACTTAAAGGCTACAGTCATTTAAGATTTACATTTAAAGGAGCTCGTTTTTTTCCCTTTTTAAAGGATTACTAGTTCTTGTTTTATCGTTGGAATATGTAAAACATTCTTCGTATTTAGACGGCAAAACCGCCTTCAATTTGTAAAAAGGCTAAGAGTTACTATGAAAATAAAATACTAATCTTTACATTTGATGTAGCATCCTTCACAGTGGGAGGAAGTCTCAAAGGGCTTGACCTGATTTTTAAAGTAAAGTGTACTGAATGCATATTCTAGGCGAACGCAGCAGCTGATTTGCACACAGCAATGTCCCACAAACAGATACAAAACGAGTGCCCAATTATATTTGGGGGATTGTCAGTCAGGACACCAGGAGAAACTCCCTTCTCTTTTCAAATAGTGAGTGCCAAGGGAGGGATCCCCTGTGGGGTTGGGATGCATGGAATTTCCATGGGTACATGGGATGGGTACATTTGGTTTGGATACTCTTAAGCACGGTGATAGGTTTCCGGACGTGTCAGACACCTGGCTGAGCCCCACAAAATAAATTCATGCATCAAAAAGAACCTATTGACTGCGGGTAGTGAAAGTGGGAGTGAGGTGAGAGAGGGACGGGTGTCTCACCTCCCTTTCCCCTCCCACCCAACACTCGATCAGGTTCGCTACAAGCGGGTAGGAGGACTAGTTACACCAAAGAAAAACTCAATCCAATTCTTTTTAGAAAATCAAAATCTTATCCCTTCTTCTCCCCCCCCCCACAACACACATGCCCAACACAAAATGATCATAAAACCAACAATCATCCTCATCTGAAGTTTTAATAGATGGCAGAGATATGATGCCTATAGGTTCAATCATTGTAAGTCACGGCCCAGAGCTTTAAAGGCATGTTAGCAAAAGCAGAGGCTTGTTTTGCTTTCAGCCACCAATCTCATCAGTGGCATAGACATTATTCTCTATGGCGAGAATGACTGTGCCTCTCCACATTAGGTTTCCCACAGACTTTGCCGTAATGTTCAATCACTTTATTAAATACTAAAATAAAATTGCATTGGCTTAAATATTGTCTAGACTAAAGGCTACTTTAATCTCTCAAATACAGTTATGCAGATAATTGAATTCTGTGTTTTCAAAGTAAGTGGATTATTGCAATCGTCAATCACAGTGTTCCAAAGTCTTCCAATATTGGGTGGACTGGTTTTGTGGAATGCCGTGATGTGAAAATATGTTGTTGATGCTGTTGAATGGGGTTCATTTATTATTCATTATTTATTGTTATTATTTATTACCAATGTTCCTACCCGGCGTGAAAGGTGGTATGCAAATACAAGTTGTATTTATGATCAAGTAAAGCAAACCCCGATAAGCTGTTTTATCTTGTGCAGAACAGTAGAACCAGAGGACATGGTCTGCGATTGAAGGGGGGGGGGGTGGTAAATTCAAAATTTGTGGAAATTAAAGACTTGCAAATTATTAGTTGCAAACTGGTGAGCACATAGTTGTGTGGTTTTGAAGATCAGGTCATGAAGTTATGAGATACATGATTTCCACTGTAATCCGGCTGATCTCGTGCTTTTCAGCTGAGTGCCATGGTTTGCAGAGAGGTTTGTGGGCTGGGGAGGGGGTGACAGGGCAAGGAGCTGAGTGGGAGTATTCCCTGCCCCTAGTGAGCGGTTTGCCTGCCCCTCCAAGTCCTGCTGAGGAGCCAGGTTGGCTGGGCTGTCATCAGTGGTCCCCTGGACTGATGCAGACTTGCCTGCCTCAGAAACCAAGACAGCCACAGAGGGTTGACTTGACTCCCACATTGCATGACCAAGAGTACGTCAACTCAGAGCCAATTGTTCTGACCTACAGAACAAGATGACGTAACCTTTAAATGAGAACTAAACCAGGTCAGAGCTAAATCAGAAAACATTTTTCAACAAAAAGAATTGTGGAAATGTAGAATTCACAACCTCCAAAAGATTGTGGATAACGCGTCAGTCAAAATATTCTATATTAATAATTCTTGCATTTGTTATGGAGTCTTTTCAAGTCATTAGCCTATGAGCAGAGATTGGAGCAACTGAGACTTTTTCTGAGACTGGGCAGAGTATAAAGGGATATGGTATACGGGGCAGACAAATAGGAATAAATTGGGCATTAATCAGCACCTAAGAAAATAGTTATAAACGTTTTCTTCTGATACTTAAGCGCTCCGGGACACTACCCCACGTGAAGGGCACTATATAAACATTGTTGTTGTTGATCCTTGTTAAGTCCCTGCTCTATCACAGTTCATCAGAAGTTGTGTCTGTATTGCACATTTTGTTAACATATTTAGCATCGATGAGGGCTTTGAAGGTGAGGAGAAGAATCTTGAACTCGATCCTCTGGGGATGGAAAGCCAGTGAAGCCGCGCGAGGATGGAGCTGATCGGCTCACATAGCTTAGTGGGGGAAGAGGACACGAGCTGCAGAGTTTTAAATAATCTGCAGTTTGTGGAGGGAAGAGGTGATAAGTCCGACTCTAAAGATCCCAGAGGAGGGGGCCGATTTCTACGGAACAGTTGCAATCAGTTCTTGCAATCAGACCAGAGAATCGGCAACACTTGAAACTATTAAAATGAGATGGACAGATACATCCCATTGAGTCGAATGAAAAAGCTTTGTCAATTTCACGCAACAGGTTTGGAATGATATCAATGGGAACAACTTTAAAGACCATACACGCAGGGAAATAAATGCAACCTAACCCGCTCCCCCATCCCCATACATCTCCTCGACCATCACACATACATACACACACACCTCCTCACAACCACCCCCCATCCCCACCCCCACACACAGACTCACTCCCCTCACACACACACCTACTCATACACACCTCCTCATCACCCCAACACACACACCTCCTCACCCTCCCTCACCCACAGTCTCATACTCCAACACACACACACCCCTCACACACATAAACACCTCCTCATATACATCTACTTGTGGAGTCCTGCAGCTCAGTGGTTAGAGCACTCGCTTTGCAAGCGAGAGACCTGAGCTCAATCCCAGGCAGAGGGCGAAACCTTGGGCAAGTTTCCTTCCTCCACACAGAGCCTAATAATAATCCCTCCAAAACCAATAATACAAATTGGTCATTTTCAATCTACGACTGTTTGTGGGACATTGCTGTGCGCAATTGGCTGCCGCGTTCGCCCACAAATATACAGTCAATTCACTTTACAGTGTGTTCTGTGAAGCGCTTTGGGATGTCCTCCCGACGTGAAAAGCGCTATATCAAATGCAAGGATTATTATTATTATTATTTTTACTCATACTTCACACACACAGATACACACCTCCCCCCCTCCACCCCCACACACATACCTCCCCACATTTAAACACAAATGCCTTTTCATCTGCAGGGTCAAAGCTTTAAGCTAAATCATATTGTTAGGCAAGAGAGTTGACTCCTCTTGTTAGAATAGCTGGGAGTCACCCTGAGCAACTTACACCTGTTGACAAACACCTGTTTAACTCTGAAGCCCCCATTTCTTTTACAATAATACTTTAATCATTTTAACTCAATAGAACTACACACACACCCCCATCCCACCCCCCTCTTTTCTCCTCTGTCCTGAAGGCTTTTTTCTAAAAAAAGAGGGAATATTTTTTTTTAAGAGTTAAAAAAAAGTTGCCCCAAAAAAGGAAATAAAACGTTTTGCAGAAACACTTTTGCACACACAAAAAAAAGCACACAAATCAACCGCAAAATCGCAGCAAACAATTGTCGACCAGAGATGTTTGAACAATAACAACAATATTATTGATGCAAAGTGTTCCAGTAAAATCTTTTCCCTTTTTTAAAAAAAACAACAAAAATAACATTATGTCCTCATATCTTGACATATAACCTGAGATAATAATAATAATGATAATAATATGAATATGATGTGTTATTTTAATATTAATAGCATCATTAGCTTCTGTGAATTGTTTTCCCCCTTTTATTGTAAGATTTTCCTCCCTTTTTTTGGGGGGGTGGGGAGGTGGGGGGGGGGGGGATCAAACATTTTATCCCCTTTTTTTAAAAAACATATTATGATTATCACCATCATTTTTTTGTTGTTGAAATTACCTGTTGATATTGCACAGAAGCTAAGACCTGGTAACAGGGAAGACATTCACAATTCGTGTCAACCACAAACAAATCAACAAACACACAAACAAAATAAATAAACACACAAACAAAATAAAGAAACAAACAAAATAAATAAACAAACAAAATAAGTAAATAAACAAACAAACAAACAAACAAACAGCCCCCCCCCACACACACACACACACACTCACACACACACCCCCAATAATGTGTGCGTTTCACAACTCAACTCACCCACTGCCCAGTGGCTGCCTCTGGGGAACATTTTGGCCACTGCTCTGTCCCCTTGGTCTGGCACGGGGGCCGCCAAGCCATGGTGCAGCTCAGAGCTGCCCACACTCAGGACAATCAGAGAGAAGAGTGAACGGTATTTCCACAGGATCATTTCACAGCCCATCTCTCTCTTTCTCTATCTCTCTCTCTCTCTCTCTCTCTCGTTCTTTTTTCTTTCTTTCTCCTTCTCTTTCACTCTATCCCAAACCCCAAACCCTCTGGCTGGAGCTAATCTCACCCAAAGCTCTTGGAGAGTTGTTGCACAGGCTTGGCTTGGCTTGGCTTTGGACTTGACTGGTTGACTTGACTCTCTTGGCTCTCAGCAACCTGAGGTAGGTGTCTCACTGTCTTGTCTTGTCTACTCCCTCTCTCTCTCTCTCTCTCTGTTTTTTTTTGCAAGGCTGTGATGGGAATTTATAACAAACCATGACGAAAGGGGGGTTGGCTGACCAAATTAAAGTAGCTGACGATTGCTTGCGTGATAGTCTGTGTGTGTGTGCTTGTTTGGGGAGTATATATCAAACATCATATTGTCCTCCCACCTCTGGTTTTATTTCAAGAGGTGAGTTGTTGCCTATAAACAGCATCTGTATCATGCTCTTCACCCCCCCCCCACACACACACACACATACACACCATCTCCCCCAACCACCCACCCACACATCATCTCCCCAATCCCCCCACCCCACTTACACATCATCTCCCCAATCCCTCCACCCCACCTATACATCAACTTCCCAATCCCCCCACCCCATTTACACATCATCTCCCCAATCCCCCCACCCCACCTATACATCATCTCCTCAATCCCCCCACCCCACTTACACATCATCTCCCCAATCCTCCCACCCCACTTACACATCATCTCCCCAATCCCCCCACCCCACTTACACATCATCTCCCCAATCCCCCCACCCCACCTATACATCATCTCCCAATCCCCCCACCCCACTTACACATCATCTCCCCAATCCCCCACCCCACCTATACATCATCTCCCAATCCCCCCACTCCACCCACACACACATATCATCTCCCCCACCCCCCACCCATCATCCCCCCAATCCCCACCCCCCCCCCCCACCCACACATCATCCCTCCACACTCCCTCCCTCCCCCACCCCCCAGAAGATGACCCCTTCTTTCGAAAAACCGGGGGAAAAAAAACAATGCACAGAAACTAACAAAAAATTACAAGAAGAATTTGGTCACTTCAATCCACGACTGTTTGTGGAGACGCTGCTGTGCGCAATTGTCTGCCGCGTTTCGCCCGCAAAATATAAAGTCGATTCACTTGACTGTAGATTCTGGGAAGCGCTTTGAGACGTCTCGAAGACATGATAAAGGAGCTGTATCAAATGCAAAGGTTATCATTATTATTATTTGTTAAAGGGGGAAGGAGTGTGGGAACTAAATTGAAATTTTCCACTATTACAAATAACAGTCACCCACCCACACACATACACACACACACCATCTCCTATCCCCCTCCCCCCACACACTTTTGAAATCACTTGTTAAAGAGAGAGGGAATGGGGGAACTGAATTGACAATTTTCCACTATTAAAAACAACTTAATGGTGGGGGTGGGGAAGGGAGAGAGCATTTTGTATATAGTTTTATTATTCTTGGCTAATGTTGTCCACCTGCCTGCCATTCCCCTCTCATCGACAAGCCTTGATCGTGGCAGATGAACACAATGGTGTTAATGGATCTCCATTGAAGTAGGGACAAAAAAAGTATATTTATCCGAACGGTGGTGGTGGGTGGGAGAGTTGGGGTGGGAGGAGGGTGATTGTGTGTTACCAACTGAGCCCATCCCTCAATCCACCTGGTGATAGTAAGATGGGGGTGGAGGGAAATTACTTACACTTGGCAACTCAACTATAGGAAATTTATGACTGCCTCAAGACTTCACACAACTCACCCTACATTCATCTCAGCCTCGCCAGTCTTCCTTTCTGCTTTGTCCTCACTCCACTATTTTTCCTACATCTTAAACAGTCTTACACGCTCGTTAATTTCAATCCCTTTATTTTATTTTATTTTCTCCCGTCCTATCCTCTCATTTAATAATAATATTAATCCGTGCATTTAATGCAGGGCTTTAGCAGGTTGTCGCGACGTCTCAAAGCGCTTCACGGGATGGTATCGTATCGTTATCGTGCCGTGTGTTTTGCAGGTGAACACGGCAGCCAATTTGCGCACTGCAATGCGTCACAAACAACCGGGAAGTGAGTAGCCAATTTTATCTGGAAGATTGTTGGCCAGGACACTGGGGAGAAACTTCCTTCTCTTTTCGGCGAGTGCCACAGGTTCTTTAAGGTCCACCGGACTGACAGAAGCCTGCTATACAAATGTAATTTTTTTGTTGTGGTGGTGGTGGTGGTGGTTTGTTCTTTTCTCCTGTTGTCACCCCATGTTAGCATCACGTTCCTGTGTTCTTATTAATCCAATAATGATAATAATAATCCTTGCAACGGATTTTACTGCAACATGCGGTGACTATGCATTTCGTGAGCGTGAATGTGGCAGCTAATTTGCCCATAGCAATGTCTCCCCAAAAACAGCCATGAAGTGAGTGACCAATCTTTTAATATGTCGGGATAATTCTTAGCCAGGACATTGGAAGTAACTCCTTTTCGTGTCGGAACACTGAAAGGCTGGCAATTGCTGTTATCAATCTGAACTTGCCCCCAGCACAGATGTACATAAAACTTTGAAGTTAGATTAATTTCATCGGCAGAGAGATGCAACTTTGCTGAGCTCTCAACTCAGAAGTTCAAAAAAAATAATAATCCTTGCGTTGGATATACCGCTTGATCACGTCGTTGAGATGCCTCAAAGCGCTTCACAGAATATACTGTAAAGTGGACTCATCGTCCTCCGCCACTGTCAAGTGCTCTGAGATGCTGCCCTGAGTGAGAGGCGCTATATAAGTGCAAGTTGTTGTTGTTGATTCACTGGGGTGAAATTGTTGTTATTGTTATTTTTATTATTGTGGGCGAAATAATGATCCTTGCATTTGATATAGCGCCTTATCACGTCGTTAAGACGATTCAAACGCTTCACAGAACATACTGTAAACAACCACAACAACAGCAACTTGCATTTATATAGCACTCCTCCCGCAGGGTAGTGTCCCAGAGCACTTGATAATGGTGGAGCACGGCACAGAGCTGGGGGGAGATGACCGTAGACCCGGTCGAATAGAAAGGTCTTTAAGCACGACCTAACGATGGGGAAGGATTGACTGTATATATCTAAGTGCTCTGAGACTCCACCTTGCATGAGGGGCTCTATAGCTCTCTTCGGTGCTGTACAAATCAGGAGGACGTCCCAAGGCGCTGAACAATCAGTGCTTCGGACCCAAGCTGGGGGTCGGGATTGGGGATGGTGGAGGACATGGGGGGGAAGGAGGGTGATCGAAGGCACAGTTGAAGAGGAGGGTTTTAAGACAGGTATTGGAGGAGGCAAGGGAGGGGGAGAGGCGGAGGAAGCACAGGAAGGGGTTCCAGAGGGTGGAGGCAGAGTGGCAGCAGGCCCGCCCGCCAATAGTGGGCGAGCAAGGTGGGGGAGCAAGGTGAACCAGGCCGGATCCCGCTGAGGGGAGGGAGCGAGCAGGATGGTAGGGGGTTAGGCAGTCACAGAGATAGGTGGGAGCAAAACCATGGAGAGCTTTGAAGGTGAGGACCAGGTTACTAAACTGTATCCTCGGTGTGATGGGAAGCCAGTGGAGTTGGGCGAGGACTTGGGTGATAGGGTCGCTGAGCCTAGTGCAGGGGAGGACACGGGCTGCAGAGTTTTGGATGATCTGCAGCCTGTGGAGAGAGGAGTTGGGGAGGCCGACAAGCAGGGAGTTTGCATAGTCAAGCCGGGATGTTATGAATGCGTATAGAAGGTGTCGGCCATGGATTAAGGGACGACATTTTTTTNGGGGTGGGAAAGCGATCTGACAATCAACTAAGAACTAAGTTCCTACTTACTGCTGGATAAACAAGAGCATGTGGAGTAAGGAAACTTGGCCCCATCAGGGAAACACACCCAGTTCCTCTTGCTTGCCAGGCGAACGCACTAGCCACTACACTACCAAATTCCAAATATTAATATTTATTTATGATTATTGAAGAGCAATATTCTCTCTCTTTCTCGCCATCGTCCTGTCTCTCTACTGTCTCACACCGTCCATTTCAGTTGTAGAAAATGTACAACTGAAGAGAGGGAAAGATATACTGTGTTTTATTAACTTTCTTTTCAACGTACCTTTTTCCCTTTCAGCTCATGAATTTTTTTTGCTAACATTTTTGGAAAATATTTAAAACAATGCTATAAATCGAGAAAACAGATGAACTCTTTGAGTACAAGATAATTTCTAAAATCTCGTTCCTGTCTGCTCTTAAAATTCTCTATTCTCTCCTTATCTTCTGTTTTCTGTGTGCCCCCTGAAGGTACCAGAGTTAGGCAGATTATTCTAGAACAGCGAACACTTATCGAATGTCGCAAATAGGAAAATTTCATCATACAACGCTTTACCTTTTTTTTAAAAAATCGCACTCAAGATCTTAAATTGAAAATCCTGGTTAATCTCTTAGAGGCAGGTGGTTGCCAAAGGACCAAATGAAACGCAATATCTTTCTGTGTGTCTTAAATCTTACAGACGACCCCCTTTATAATGGATAAGAAGTTCCATGAACATTTTATTTCCCCTCAGTCCACAGTTGCAAAACCAAAAGATACTGTGGAATGGGGGAAAATAAAATGATCATGAAGCAACTTATCCATTGTGAAGGGGATTTGCATTCATCGCAGTACCTTTCTTTGCATCTAATAAGCTTTGTTCATTCTCTTATTGTAGCCCAGAGTCCTTGATCGTCTCCCTGTACTATTGTCTAACACACCTCTTGCCTGTGGCAAAACCTGTGTGTGGGGGTAGTTTATAATGCTAACCCACTCTTGTACAAACTGTGGGTTATATCAAGACAGCACTGTGCAAAATCAATACCTTACAAACAATAGGAGTGTAAAGATTTACAAAAGAGAGCTTTTAACTTGGAGAAAAAATTAAGATTTCCTGACTTTTTTCAGTTTTATTTTGCAAGTTTGGTAAGATTGGATGGTTTTTAATCGTGCTTCAACCTTCCTTCCCCATCACACAAACACACTCACTTACACAAACACACACAAACTCTCTCTCCCCATTATAAACCACAGAAAAAGGGTTTATA